AAAATCAGTGTATGAAATCATTTTGGCTTCTTATTGATAGAAGCATACAGTGCATGTTACAAGAAAACATGATTAATTAAAAAAAGAAGATGTGTAGAAGGACATAAGCATTTACACCTAGAAAGACAACAGTAATCATGAAGGCATTTGTTGCTTAAATAAGCAAAGCCATGAAAGGGGGGAATAGCTTTATATGCTAATGATCCTGAAACTGAAAGATATTTACCACAAAACAGGAGAGGCGATTTACAGAAAATCGTCGAGAAATCTCGGTAGATCCAACTAGCTAATTTACCCTTAGTTAGCACGTATTACCATTAAAAATTAGTAGAAATTGAATATCTATCATGTGCCGAGAGTATGTTTCTCTACGATCTCGGGTTAGAAATTTCGTGGTTTTGTCTAAACAAATTTTTTTCAACAGTGAAGTATTGAACGTAAAAAATACCCCTTTTTTCATTAAAAGCTGACCTCGATTGAATAGTTTCATGCTCTAGTCAATAAGAGAACAGTTGAAGCACTACAGTTGATAATTGAAAACAAAACGTTGTTGAGAGCTTCCATTGCATATGTCGATGAAAATCAACCATCTCAAGCTAAAATAACTTATATGATTAGCTGGCTATTTAATAGTAGAATACTATTGCGTAAAAACAATCTGAAAGAACTAGTGCCCTTAAAAGACAAACCAATTATTGAAAACGTCAACCATTTCTTTTTGTTTGTAAGTGAGCGGGTTCGGCCTTAATTTAAAGCCCTCTAAATGTCGTTGCGAAAGGAAGAAAGACTGTTATATTTTACACGGGGCAGAAATGTCAAGTAGTAAACACTGCATTCATTCATTTCAAGTCCCGAAAAGGACTTTTGATCAAAAGGGACTCCCTTTTTCATTCTGCAAATTCAGTACCTCTTTTTTGTTTTTGCTTTTGTTTACCTCGCATCCACACATATATATTTTACGTGTATCATGTATGTTATACTTCATCAAGCTGGATTTTTATTGACTGGATTATGTACTACCTTGGGAGTACAATGGCTGTTTTACAGAGGAGCAGCAAGTATGAATGCCATTTTTCATAATAGAGGTTTATGAGAATGCTGATTCGTCTTTATTTTTATTATTTCATAGCTTCTATGAGTCTTTTGCCTCAACTATCAAATTATATTGGCATGTTGTTGGTTTCTTTATACCATGTTACTCAAGAGAAAAATGAGTTACAAACTTATTCAGCAAGGAGACGAGGACGCTATAACAACGTTATAAAAATAATTAATCTAACCCCCTTAATTTATTAGTCGCCAGTATTATCGTCATCGTGCTCTATCAGAAGCGAACAAACCATGATAGATAACCTTCCCACAATAGAGCCTCTAGAAGAAGGCCCTATCGAGCATTTAGCCATTATTAAATTGGCATCGTTGGACATATTGCCAGCTTTGCCCTGACAATTGGGTTTCTATTATCGGAAGCGGAGTAATGTATAATTTTTGAGTCTTACTAAATACCTTAACAACTAATTGTTTTTACTTCAAAAAGATGTATCAAGTCATCTATAGCAGTATTGTTGTTTGGTGTGCTATTTTGACATGGTTGTTTATGGGAAGAGCGTTAGCAAAGATACAAGGGTTGCTATTATAGGTACGAGTGTTGGACTGGGTGTGAGCTCCTTTGATAGCCTTCAAGGATCACCGCTTGAAAATGATTTAGCACAGGTAATGACAACAAAAACAAAAGAAGATATGCAGACGTAATATAAATAACAAACTAGAGTAGAATCAACAAATGTCTTATTTAATGGAACCTTAATGACGTTGTGTGGAACCTTTATTTCAGGTACGCAAAAAAGGAGAAAGTAAAGAAGATTCCCTTTTTACAACGTTTTTATTTATATATGTTTATAGCATGCATCTACGTATATGCAGATACCATTCTCTCTAAAAGTAAAGCTCAGCCTTTACCAGCAAGGGTGTGTTGTTGGATGGGCGTCTACACGTCGCTATTTACTTTGATTTGGATTTCAGTGTATACGCTTCCTCAGTTCAATACCATTATTCAAATTGACAAACAAGTCTCGACCACACAGGTTCTGATAGTCTATTTGTTGTGACTGTGGCGAATGCATTACACTCTTGGAGCTATTATGAATTGATCGAGCTCACTGGAAATGTAAATATTTGCTTGTTTACTATAAATGGAGACAATAACAATTTTGTTTAGGTGGCGACGGGAATTTTACAGGGACTGAGAGCTATCCTTGTATATGCAATCAGCCATGTTTGGTACTGTCACGAAGACTCAGCCCAATGCAAGTATTCACATTGATTTTATACGCAAGTGGATGTCCGTTTTTTAACTTGTATTATAGGTTTTACGATATCCAAGGGATGTGGTTCATTGATTGTGATAAGTTGTTATATTGTTTACGCTTGGTAAAAAAAGTACCAAATAAATTAAAATCAAGAGCCTCGTTATTTACAACCTTAAATAAAATCGATGCACAAGGGCCATGTCTAAATCATGATCATGCTGATGGCATAGTGAAAGGTCCTCATAGAAAAATAGACAATTTGTTTCTAATATTTCGTGAGACGATCAATTATACCTATAGTTCAGCCGTCTATATAAGTTAGAACACTTGCTTTTCCGAGTAGCGACTTAGTAACTTAGCCCCTCTCTTTCCATATGAAGAGAGAGTGAAGTCGTTACTTCGTAACGCAACCATGATATGGCTCATCTGAATTTGAACTTTTTTTTTTTGTCATTTTTATTTGAATAATTTTAGAAAGGAAGGAAAAATGTTCAGCCGATTGGAGACTCTGAGTGGTAAAATTTTTTCGAGAAAACGACACCCAATGTACTATGATGACCATGGAAGTAACTCCATTTATTTAGTCTGGCACGTTTGCAGTAAAAGTTCAGGCAAAAGCAAGACGAAAGAAAAACTCTTTATTCAAGCCTACACGAAAATCGATTTCTTCCGAAAAAGAAATATATTCATGTCCCGAGACAAAGTTCTACCACGTTTGCGCGTATATTTGTGCTGTAAAACGGAGAATATTTTTCTGCGATCTTTTCTTTTCTACAGCGCCAAGTTGTGGTGGTACACTTTTTTTCAAAAAAAAGTGTACCACCACAACTTGGCGCTGTAGAAAAGAAAAGATCGCAGAAAAATATTCTCCGTTTTTACAGCACAAATATACGCGCAAACGTGGTAGAACTTTGTCTCGGGACATGAATATATTCTTTTTCGGAAGAAATCGATTTCGTGTAGGCTTGAATAAAGAGTTTTTCTTTCGTCTTGCTTTTGCCTGAACTTTTACTGCAAACGTGCCAGACTAAATAATGGAGTTACTTCCATGGTCATCATAGTACATTGGGTGTCGTTTTTCTCGAAAAACAGTTTTACCACTCAGAGTCTCCAATCTGAACATTTTCCTTCCTTTCTAAAATTATTCAAATAAAAATGAACAAAAAAAAAAAAGTTCAAATTCAGATGAGCCATATCATGGTTGCGTTACGAAGTAACGACTTCACTCTCTCTTCATATGGAAAGAGAGGGGCTAAGTTACTAAGTCGCTACTCGGAAAAGCAAGTGTTCTAACTTATATAGACGGCTGAACTTATAGGTAGTAATTGATCGTCTCACGAAATATTAGAAACAAATTGTCTATTTTTCTATGAGGACCTTTCACTATGCCATCAGCATGATCATGATTTAGACATGGCCCTTGTGCATCGATTTTATTTAAGGTTTGTAAATAACGAGGCTCTTGATTTTTTATTTGGTACTTTTTTACCAAGCGTAAACAATAATACACAACTTATCACAATCAATGAACCACATCCCTTGGATATCGTAAAACCTATAATACAAGTTAAAAAACGGACATCCACTTGCGTATAAAATCAATGTGAATACTTGCATTGGGCTGAGTCTTCGTGACAGTACCAAACATGGCTGATTGCATATACAAGGATAGCTCTCAGTCCCTGTAAAATTCCCGTCGCCACCTAAACAAAAATTGTTATTGTCTCCATTTATAGTAAAACAAGCAAATATTTACATTTCCAGTGAGCTCGATCAATTCATATAGCTCCAAGAGTGTAATGCATTCGCCACAGTCCACACAAATAGGACTATCAGAACCTGTTGTGGTCGAGACTTGTTTGTCAATTTGAATAATGGTATTGACTGAGGAAGCGTATACACTGAATCCAAATCAAGAGTAAATAGCGACGTGTAGACGCCCATCCAACACACACCCTTGCTGGTAAAGGCTGAGCTTTACTTTTAGAGAGAATGGTATCTGCATATACGTAGATGCATGCTATAATACATATATAATAAAAACGTTGTAAAAAGGGAATCTTCTTTACTTTCTCCTTTTTTGCGTACCTGAAATAAAGGTTCCACACAACGTCATTAAGGTTCCATTAAATAAGACATTTGTTGATTCTACTCTAGTTTGTTATTTATATTACGTCTGCATATCTTCTTTTGTTTTGTTGTCATTACCTGTGCTAAAG